AATCTAACAACGCTAACATAACCTAATCTAATCTAACAACGCTAACATAACCTAATCTAATCTAACAACGCTAACATAACCTAATCTAATCTAATGACGCTAACATAACCTAATCTAATCTAACAACGCTAACATAACATAATCTAATCTAATGACGCTAGCATAACATAATCTAATCTAATGACGCTAACATAACATAATCTAATCTAACTTAACACGAACTTAACCTTACGTAACTTATTCTAACGTAATCTAATTTTACTTTACGAGCTATACGATAGTTAATCAGTAGGTGAAATAAGCTAGGGGGCTATTCTTCAGGTTTTCCGGGAGTTATAAAAATTTCCTTTCCATGCCTCGAGTGGCCCGTGTCTGTATGAATGGTCTATTGTTCCATCCATTATGTGTGTGTGTGTGAAGTCATTTTCAAATAACTTGTATTAGTTTGTTTTAGCGTAGGCCAACTGCTAATTTTCAGGTGAGAGAAACGGGTGGGTTAATCTTCAGGTGAGAAGTTTGTGGCTAATCTTTAGGTAAAAGAAACTGGGGGCTATTGTTCGGGTCAAAGAAGCAGGGGCTAAGTTCGGGTGTAAGAAGCTGGGGCTAATGTTCGTGTGAAAAAAAGCTAAGGGACTACTCTTCAGATGAAAGAAGCTGAGGGGGCTAAGCATCACGTGATCCCAATAACATATTTGTTCCTTTAATATTTCAACACCAGGGTGATCTCGTTTACTTAATGTGTTTGTTGGTGGACGATTTAAACTTTACACAGTTTATTTTTATACACAAAGGACGAACTTACATTTATACTTGTTATGATATTATTTAACCATGTTTTTATTTATACATTGATATAAGTTTTAATGGCGTTCGTGTTGTTGGCAATCATCAGCTGCGTAGTTCAAACATATGTGGTGTACTGACTCACTCACCCAGATTTTCACAGATCAGCATGTTTGTTTATCTCACGATATGATTAGCCTCACCAGTTAATTTCACAGTTAAGATTAACTACCCTAACTCTAGCCTAACCTGACCAAACGCTAATTTAATCCAATGCAAACCTAACCCAATGTTAACCTAACCTAATGCTAACCTAACCTGACCAAACGCTAGCCTAATCTAACCTGACCAAACGCTAGCCTAATCTAACCTGACCAAACACTAACCCAACCTAACGCTAACCTAATCAAATGCTAACTAAATCTTATGTTAACCTAGCACTAAGTTAACCAAACCCCCAATTTTCAGGTGATCCGTTAATTTTAGAGAAGTTTCTGCCTGACTGCTATAATACACACGTGAATGAATGTACCTTGATTAAATGCGTTTCTCTAAGCTTTCAAATCCTATCGCCAGGGTGCAGATTCACAAAGGTTCATTATTTATCGTAACAGAAGCTGTAACTTTGGAACTGTTAGGAAGTGAAATTAAGGAAGGAAATGATTTTGATAAGATTTTCTAAATTAATTTTGTCTTCTATCTGATGTTAAATAAGATTGAGATAAGTTTAGATAGTCGCAGTATATTTTTTATTGTTTTTTTATATCGTACTTATGTTTTGGTTTTAATTTCATCAGTTAGCTGCGTTCTTACATCTTTAGTCACGAGGAATATTCACTTGGCAACCCATCTGCTGGGCGGGAAGGAGGCAACATACTGTACGTGCATCGTTACTGGCCGAAGATAAAACATTATGTTTCATATAGCCAATTGATTTTATATATTTTTGGCTTAGTGGGCAATAGGTTATGAAAAGTTAGTTATTCTAGAGAAATATGCTCATGTTAAATTGGCTGTTACAGATAACCTTTGTTGTTGCGCCTGTTACCACGGGCTAGTCAAGGTCACGCCGCGTACTCCACTTTTAACCGTTCAAACCGTTTTTAACAACACCTGCACGTCCTCCTCCCGTTTCATAAGCCTTGTTGCTAGGCTGCTGTTTGCTGAGTCCCATAGTTCATTTCGAAGAAGTGACGCGAGAAAGGGGGAAGTTCTTGTCTTCATATTATTAGTATCACGTCATGCCTCGACCAATATCAGAATTCAAATTTTCTATTTAATTCAGACATAAAGATAGAGGTTTAATGATAATGCTGACATGAGCATTTCCTCGGTCGTTGTCTAAGGTAAAAATCACATTGTTAACAGTTAAGTCAAGACAACATAGAGTAATGTTTTCGTGGTAACACTATCAGTGACTCATCCTATACTGATAATAATAATAATTATATGACAGTGGGAGCTATTCCTTAGGTTACAGTCACTCGCTGCACCTTCACACTAGTATGACTACCTCAGTTGTTGCCCCTGATGACGCCATGAATAAGTCCGTGTTATATTTGTACAGTGTTCATGTGTAGGACAAAATCTCTCTAGGATAAAAACCAAACTTAACCTCGACTAACACTAATATATAAAAATGGGGTATTTTGCATTACTTTGCAATTTAAATGATGGGGTTTGGTCCGGGGGTATTTTGTCTTGGGGGAATTTGCGTGGGTATCAATGTTGTTCATAGTACAGTATCTGGGTGGCCAGGAACCTGTGATACGGAACACGGATGTGATGCTGAGATCGGTACACCCCTAGTACCAGAAATGAAGATAAACGATATTTAATAAATACAACTAAGTCTGAATGGAATCACATGAAGATTAGCTCTCTACCCCCGGCTTATTTCATCTGATGATTAAACACTAACGCTACCTGGTCAGATTAGGCTTGGTCAAGTTACACAAGATTGATTAATCACTGTGTGAAGTAAACTCAGGGGGTGGGGTGCAATTTTCACGTGATCCGTTTGACGGTTAATAAACCTCAACTTACCACACACAGGTATCTGAGGAGATGAGTGACGCTTCAATATTAATATCATCATTGAATCTAGAGAGAGAGAGAGAGAGAGCTATTGTAGTCAACACCACCAGGTTTAGTGTTGCGTCCTCCGTCGTGTTGGTCATGTTGCTTCTCGACAGCTTCAGTAACACAGTAGCTGCCGTCATCTTCGACTTTAGGGGAACCTTTATAATAGATGCCAGATGATTCAATTTACTTAAGTCAGTAATTCCTTTCCACACCTATGGTACCATGGGCCGCCATCCCGAAAATTTTCGAGAAAACAAATTATCGACTAATTTAGGAACATAAGAACATAAGAATGGAGGAAACTGCAGCGGGCCTATTGACCCATACTGGGCAGTCCCGTTTATACCCAACCCCTATTGCTCATTTAAGCATCCAACCTATGTTTGAAGCTATCCAGCGTATTCGAGTTAATAATGATATTTGGTAACTTGTTCCATTCATCCACTACTCTGTTTCCAAACCAGTGTTTACCTATTTCACGCCGAAATCTAAATTTGTCTAATTTAAAAACATTTTAGTTAGTTTAACAAATTTATTGACAAAGCTTGTAGTACAGTTTGCCTATTCTGAGTAATTCAGTCAGGTCTTGACACTGAGGGTGGTATCACTTCTCACTGCCACGCAGGACAGAGGTTCATACACAAAGAAATACATCATATTCATTAACAGCTATAAGTGTATAGAGGTCAGATTCATATGGGTAATGTCACTGTTCACTGCCATGCAGGACAGAGGTTCGTACACAAAGAGATGCATCATATTCATTGACAGTACATATACATATATGTACACACACACATACATATATACATACACATATACATGTACATCTATATACACATATGCACACATACATACACATACGTCGGTCAAATTCATGTGGGTAATGTCACTCTTTACTGCCATACAGGACAGAGGTTCGTACACAAAGAATGCATCATATTCATTGACACTATATATAGGTCAGATACATGTGGGTAATGCCACTGTTCACTGCCATGCAGGACAGAGGTTCGTACACAAAGAAGGAAATACATCATATTCATTAGCAGTATATATAGGTCAGTGGATCACATACATTGGAGTCATATTCTAATTGAAGACTAATCAGTGTGGGCTAGCAAACTTGGGATAAACAGCAAGAATGTCCTCAAGCACACCTGATTCAATGAAGTAATTACATAGTTCAAGATACAATAAGTCAGGTGGCCTGAAGTCTTTGAGTGTCACATTCAATAATATAGTGTTCAAGTGTATGCTTTAAAGGTTTATCACAAAGTTTACATGTTGAGTGTTCCGGTATGGGTACAGCGTTACTAACTTGCCAGATGTGTCTGTATCCTAGCCTAATTCTGGCCACGACTACATCACATTGTCTGGTTCTGTCCTTATGCTGGCCATACCGGTACCTCTTGTCACAAAATTTGTCATATTTACTAATGCTACAACTGTCAGGTCTCTCTGCATTTCTCACTTCTTCTAGATCAGAGTTCATGATTCTGACTTGAATGTTTTTAATTACAGCATTGGACAGGCCAAGGTCACGGTCAACATTTTCTTTCTTACATGCCTCATTGGCCAGCCTATCAGCACGGTCACGATACCTGATTCCAACATGGGACGGAATCCACACAAATTCGATACGAAAGTTGTTCTCATTGGCAGTTATCACATTCCTTTTAATATCACATACAACTTTAGACATAGAGCCTGATGGGCTGTTCATTGATTTCAAAGCACTTTGAGAGTCACAGAATATCACCCCACCTCCATTTTCTTTGAGGTAGTCTGTGGCTAAGTAGATTCCAAAAACATTGTTACCGGTTCGCTCCTGGTTGGATAGTTTGAGTACCTTTGTAATGTCCCCTTTGTTTAACCCTGACTTCCATTTATACACCTCTATCATGTCGCCCCTCACTCTACGTCTCTCGAAGGAGTGCAAATTAAGATGCTTTATCCTGTCTCTGTACTCAGGTTCTTGATGCCCGGGATTAGTCTTGTCATTCTCCTCTGGATTCTTTCCAAGGATTCTATATCCATTCTGTAATACGGTGACCAGAACTGAACTGCGTAATCCAGGTGAGGTCTCACAAGCGCTAGATATAATTTTAAGATGACCTCGCTAGTCTTGTAACTAACACTCCTTTGAACGAACTCAAGTAAGACACCGGCCAACCGAGGCCATTGGGTTCGTTTGACAAAATAGCGTCCCCCAAACATTGAGGTGTTGTGGCCAGAGGGACACTTGCACGTGTCACTGGTACACTACCTGACTTCTGGCACCTGGCAGCTGGCACCTCTTGGGAACAAAGTTGCTGCAAGAATGCCTTTGAGGGTAGTGTTCGTCTTCGAGATGTTAACCCAGCCATACATCTTGTTGATTCTAAATGGTCATCAGTTGCAAGCAGTGTGCAAAAAAAATAATAATAGCAAAACAATTAGTTGCATGTTAAAAAGAGAAGAGTGGTGTTAAAGTACGACACGAAGTATAAAGAAGTGCCAAGCTGACGGGAAGAAGTTTTGGCGAGGTGCTGAGGGTCTATTTACATCTGCTGGGCTTCGCGGCAAAATGACGCGGCCAGAGTTGTTGTTCTGACTTCACAGCGACCTGTTGAGTCTCCACTTGTGAACTTTCTCACCCCTTCACTGGTACTTATTGGCTTTCTTCAAGATACCATCAGTAAGTGTGATCAGAATAACCCTTATGTCCTGTGCACTGTGTCTTGTAAGATAGACTTTCTTCTTCTTAACTCTTAACAATACGTCTAATTGACAAGTGTATTTCAGTGTTTACCTCAAGCGAATAGATCATATGAATATGCTGCAAATACAAGATAAATGTTAACGTAACTGAATGTTCCTTATGGATACCATTTCAGCTGACTTGTTGGATATGACGTCCAAGTGAACTGTGAACACTTTACTCTACCGTACTATCATAACATCTGTAACAAGTCACCCCGTCGTAATTGTAAATGTTGTTGTATAAAGGATTTTGTTTTCTTAAACCACTAGTCAAATATTTCATTTAATATTCCCTTAATTTATCCTTGGAAAAATGTGTGGGAAATGGTATTGCATAGTAGTAAAGGTAAACGTGAACTTCCAATTGCTGAGTGAACTATTTATTTCTTTTGTTTTACATTTTGCTACTTAAGTTTAGAAATGGATATTTAGTGGTGAATATTTTGGTGGTTATGATTGGCTTGTAAATCCTGTTTTAACATTGAAATTATATATTTCCTCATTTCGTGACAATCATTGAGAAGAACAACTATAGCCTTACTGACAGTTTACACTTACCTCTTTATACATAGTGCAGCCTAACAGTTTACACTTGCCTGTCGATATTTGTTATCCTAACATTTTACATTATCTGTTTATACATAGCGTAACCTTACACAGTTTACACGCTTATTTATACCTGAACTTTAACAGTTTACACACCTGTATACATAGCCCTAGCCTAACAGTTTACATACTTGTTTATATATTGCAGTAGCCTAAGTTCATAACTCCCCATATTCTATAATATACGTTGAGCGAACGTACCATGATATTATTAAGTCCATCCGTTTAGACTCAAGCTTACATTATGAAGCTGGATTAACGTTCACACGACGCCCTTGTACTTGATTAAGAAGGTTGCTTCCGAAGATGGTGTTATTGTGTGCATGATAGATATTGTACAGTAGATGGTATTCTTGTGCCTAGTAAAATCTATAGATGGCGGTCTTGTGTACGGTAGAATCTATAGATGGCACCCTTGCGTGTGGTAGAATCGGCATGTACTGTAGAATCTGCGTGTGTGGCAGGTATTGTATATGGTGTTATTGTCTATAGTATGATCTGTAGATTGCGACCTAGGGCCAGTAGTGGCTTAACATAGCCTTTTTCATGACATTTAACACGATTTTTTTTATACGGGGAATGGCCCACACGGGCACAGGTCATCGGCCCACAATCAGCTTTACTATTTTTTTCTCATAAATTTTACTTTATTTTGGAATACAGATACAGTTTCTAAGAGTTGTAGCTATGCAACAAAATGTAGCACGTTATATTATTTAAAGTAAATAAGGCTAAGTAATCTGTACACGTATACAATATTAAGTATACAAAAAATGATAGTTGACTAATAAATTGAAAAAAAACGACAAGACATTTTGTGTAATGCTCATTTGGTTTACTGCAAACAAGAAGTATTTTACGATAAACTGAGGGAATAATCTGCTAAATATGTCCTTTGTAAAGTGATGGTTGGTGTTAGTGTAGATGGTTTGATATTAGGTGCATAGCTACATCATTTGTAATGGATAGAGAAGCTACACAACTTAAGTGTTCCAAGTTTTTTTCAGTAAGGTATATTACGAGTTCATATTATAATAAACTGTACTGTACTCCGTCGCTTAGGAAGCACAAGGTCTCTGCTGGGGTCAGACCTGTGCATGACAACAAAAGATTATTTACTTCAGTATTGTCGGTATTTTAACCAAGTCAGCATGTGTATAAAATTATGTATCCAGACAGTGTTGTGACTATTACTAAATAAATGCGTTTCTTATATTTTTCAGTGGTTGTTGATCTTAAAAGGGGAGGTCATCAGTAAATAGTAATTAAGGTTGCGATTTTCACCCCCTGCCTCAGGAAGTGAGTTATAAATTTGAGTCACCCTCACGACTACAGTACACAGACGACCGCAGAACGTAGATTGATATTGACTGTAGATAACCAGCGAACGTGAACGACCCAGTAGCGGTTGTGGAGGAGGAAGCAAGAATGTCGCAAGTGGGAGGGGACGAGACGGGAATTGTCAGTTTGTTCGGGCCTGATGAACCACAACTTAACAAGAACAAAAAAGACAAAAAGAACAAGAAACACAAGAAACAACAACAGAAGGAAAATGTTTCACAAAATCCAGAAGAGAATGCCAAGAAAACAAAAGAGGTATGTTATTTTAATTTGTCCAATAGACTGGCTTATATTTTACTCTTTGATAAACTAATGAAAACAGCTATAAACGTACAAACAACAAAGACACAAACATACCCTAGAGGTCATACCATCCATCCACTCAAAGTTCAAGAAGCTATTTAATGACAACTTGTTGATTCACGCAGTTTCTCATTTCCTTGTGTATTAATTACTTAATCTCCTTTTCTACCATTGTACACAACCACCAGGTAATAACTAATGCATGCTGAAATATTCTGAATCATTCTTACACATCCATCTTTCCTTTACAATAATTTGGTGTTATTTTATATGTACAGAATTAGTTTACTGAATATTACTCTTGTATATATTGACTTGTTTATTTTAATGTGTTTATGTCAGTAGATGTTTAAAGTGGGCTACATCACGTGTATTTTAACGCGACGGTTACAGTATGACTGAGTGTGTTTGAACCTGTGTAACACTTTATGTACTGTATGTGCATGACTTTTTCACGAGTGTGCGCGCATGTGTTTTATAAATGCATTGATATTTGAGTGTCTGTCTGTCCGTCTGTGGTGTTTACAGTGACGTCAAACATGAAGCCAAACTCACTGATTATATTATATAACTTGTCACTACAGCAGTGTAAATTTATATTAATAAATGCTGGCTTGTCAAAAGAATGGACAAGAAACAGACTATCCTCCTTTAGTGCATGTTATTCATTACATTCCCTAGTAAAATTGGAAGTTATTGTGGTGAGGCTTATGCACCAGAGAAAATAAAGATTAAAAAACATTACTTGGGCGTGCGCAATCCATGACGTAAATGCAGTATGCCAAACGTCATTTTCTCTGTTCCAGATAAAACAAATCTTAATATTTGTGAGTAGTTTAATAGACGTATATTCAATTGATGTAAAATTATCTTGTAAGGTTTGATGATTTTTAGGTGGAGTTGATAAATATTAAGAGTTTCTTTGGAGATTTGGCACAAATACCTGAGTGGGAGTCTCTCAACAGCTGGTGCTGGTCTTAGTTGGTTTGTAAACACTGTGGAGGGAAGTGGGCGGTCAACTCTTAAAACCTTTCACTGGCTCTTTAATGTTCAGTTTTCTATATATGTATACATTACGGTGAGTAAACGTGTATGTTCAAAATCCAGATTGATATTATGAATGATTTGACAATTTGATTCTTTATTCAAAACTGCACCCGATGATTGGAGTGCTCAAGGGCGTACATCGCCTAGAGAGATACATTTGGTTGAGCAATAATGTAGGTGGTGTAGTCACTTGTTTATCTTGTTCACCTTAAGTAGATTCAGCCTTACCAATAACCAACAAATATGTGTCTTAGGAGCACACCAATGATGAATTTAGGGTACCTTTAGTAACTTGTGCCTTTGTTTCATCAATATCTGAATATCTAAACTAACATCTAGAGCCTCAGTCTTCATTTTTTGACACTTTTAGAGAAAATTAAAGATACAGAAGAGGTGATAGTCTTACAGTTGATCTTCCATAAGGAATGTTTCACTGATTTGTGAAAATCATTTTGGGTTGTTAGAGTGAGGTGTGTAGGCGGTCTGACTAATTACCCAAATGTAGCAAAATGTAGCCGCAATGAAGTCAAATAATGGTCCTACATGAATAAATCGGACTGCAAATGACTTCTCGACTAGTATTTGGTGTCACAAAGTCACAAAAAATTGGAAAACTTACTTTAATCTGAGTTAATAGATTGCGTGCATGTACCGAGGGAGCGAGTAATTACCCAAATGTAGCCAAATGTAGTTGCAATGAAGTCAAATGATGGTCGTACAAGCGTAAATCGGGCTGTGAATCACTTCTCGATTATTATTTGATGTCATAAAGTCACAAAAAATTGGTAAACTTAATTTAATCTGAGTTGTGTTAGGTTAGGTTAGGTTAGGTTAGGTACATGCACTTGATCTATTAACTCAGATTAAATTAAGTTTACCAATTTTTTGTGACTTCGTGACACCAAATACCAGTCGAGAAGTGATTGGCAGTCCAATTTATTCATGTAGGACCGTTATTTGACGTCATTGCGGCTACATTTGGGTAATTACTCGCTCCCTCGGTACATGCACGCGATCTATTAACTCAAATTAAATTACGTTTTCCAATTTTTTTTTACTTTGTGACACCAAATACTAGTCGAGAAGTGATTGGTAACCCGATTTATTCATGTAGGACCATTATTTGACTTCATTGCGGCTGCATTTGGGTACATTTGGGTAATTAGTAGGTGTGTAGGTGATGAAGTCAAGTGTTGTGGTGTGTGACGTTAGGCAGAAGAAAGTGTTTTATCTCTTAAGATACAAATAAAAATCACTCTTCAACTACACTGATTCAGAGCAACATATTTGTAAAATATTGACGTAATATATACAGTATACTTAACCAGAGAGGAAATTATTCTGCAGAAGATATATGATTTCTTGCCATGGAAGGCCCCCAAAATGGAAACAGTTTTTTGTTAGGTTAAAATTTGCTTCAGCAAAGCTGTGCCCATTCCCTGGTCTTGTTCATTTTCTGGGCTGGTGCCTTAGGTTTGCAGTGGTGAACAGTGAGGGGAACCCCCCCCCCCTCCTCGGGTTGTACCCTACAGCTACCATCAAGTTATCATGACTAACACGTATGTACTAGTATAAAAAACTAATTCCTTCCCATTTAGGAGTTTTTCAATAGGTAATAAAAGAATTTATCTTCTCTACAGTAAAACAATTTCTTCACTTTGCTGTTTTTCTTTCTTTTTTATGGGTATTAGTCCATCCGAGCACAGGTCACCAACCCACATCAGGGCTTGGAGGATGAAAATAAATTGAACCAAAAATAAATATAAAAATGGAAAAAAAACAAAAAAATCAAGAGTGAGTTATTATATAAAATTATGTTGTATAGTCAAAGAAGAAAAATAATTGAGACCCTGCAATTGTGTGTAAATGAGGCAGAAAGTAAGTCATATCAGTAACCTGGGACTTGGTCACAATTTTTGGGGTGAGGAGTGCAACATCGTAAAGTACTATAACAAATATATAGATATTACTCTATGTCTACAGCCAATAGATTCATATTTACACATTTAGATTTTATAATCGAAAATTCTTAAATATACTGTATTGGTGTGGTAATATTGTATACGGGTATTGTTATAATTATGGCAGATATGTGTTGATAATTTTGCTAATACTGTATAGTATTTCAGGAAGTGTTGTCAATAAGCGTTAATTTAAACTTAGTTCAGTCTCTGTAGTCAATTGGATTTCAGGATCATTCCATCATTAATAACCGTTGACCATCCTCTGTGGCTCACGTCATTCATTGCCAGCCTAACATTGGAGAAGAATGGAAATAAAACTACAACTGATCACTACTGTGAACTCCACTTATGAGACAGAACTGACCATACAAGTGTCAAGATACAAAGTTGATTTGCTTGAAATCTTCACTCACAATCTGTATATGAAACTCTTGTCAGTGCAGTATGAATATGATAGACGTTCTTAAGGAGAAATTTCTATTTTCTGGGTCAGCCTTAGACCAAGCCCAAGGTTTATGTCAAAGAATGAGACTGAAATTTGTGGCCAATATGTCATTGCTTCTTGATTGAGAAATAGTGTTTCTCACCATTTTATTTTTGCAGTTGAGGCAATCCACTCAAAACAGAGTAAAAGAGCCTTTCATCATAAAAGTTTCATACTGAATAGGAGTTCGAAGTTAGGAGTCTGAGAAGTATATTTCAGAATAATTGTTAAGTTATGCAAGTGCCACAAACAGGATGTAGATATGTGGCATTGTCAATGACATTTCTTAAACTTGTAGTGTATTCATGAAATTCTTACTACCGTACCAAAAGATGGGTTGTCATAGGCAAGGACTTTCATATGTAAAAGGGCAAGGGGTTACCTAATTGAGGTGTATATAAACATCTCAAAGGGCACTACTTAGTCGAGTGTCCATACCTGGAGCTGGCGGATGCCTGCCCCACAAGGGGTCACAGCTCAGGGTTAAAGAAGTCAAAAGTCCAGAAAACTGTGAGGGCCAATTTTTTCGGAGTGAGAATTGCGAACTCTTGGAACAACCTGCCAGAGAGTGTTGTGATGGCACTGAGTGTGAGCTCTTTCAAGACCAGACTTGACCAACACTGGAGCAGGTTCAGATACATTCAGGAGCCAGTGGATGTCCAGTACTTGCCAACAGTGCATAACAGAGATTTGACTGACTGCCCAAGCGGCTAAAGAGACGATCAGTGGCGAAAAGGATAAGAGTAAAGGTATGAGATGAAAGAATTCATGCTGATTGACTATGTGGCTTTTGGAAGTTCTTATGGTTATTTTTGTCTTTCTAATAGGATTCTTGACATCTCTAATGGCAGGTCTTATTCCCACCCATCCTCAAATATTAGGATGGCTATAAATGATATGAGCTGCCAAATTAAGGTTGATGGAAGGGTCAGCTACCTTCCCTCCTACCAAGGGTCATTTATGAAATGAGTGGCACTGAGGATTAGGTAGTTGCTGTATTGGCATGGTGATAGCTTGACCACCCTTTTCCTTTTAAAAACTACTCATGCTTGTGTCTGGACACAATACAAGGGTTCCGGTTGCAGTGGGAATATAAAACTAATCATTTGATTAATCCTGAAAGCTAATTCTGAGAAAAATATGGACTCTAATCCATAGACTTAGTTAGTTACATAACATGAAGCTTTTAATGCAATCTTAGTTATGAAATCAGATTCCAGGATCAATCCATCATTGCTCTAGATCAGTGGTTCTTAAACTTTTTTGCCTTGCGCCCCCCCCTCTGCATAAGTCCTAGATCCCATGCCCCACCCTCACCTACTGATGCAACCATTGGTTATTATAGAGTGGGAGGGATAAGCAATCGTGTACTAGACTTTTTTCTCTGACTGCTCGTGGCTCCCTTGGAATCTTGTGGTGCACGTGCCCCCCAGTTTAAGAACCACTGCTCAAGAACCTTCCCTTTACCTTTTTCTTTATCTTCCTTTTGTTTCCATTCCATCCCTAAAGAAAATAAAGTGCAAAGTGTTTTATTATGTTTTCCTACTATTGTTTTTACGATTCTTTTTCCATTCAACCTTCATATTCCTCTCTCCATTACCCCAAGGAGTGCTGTCCCAACTACCAGTGAATATTAGGGAGTCTGGAAGAATGTTCGTCCCCTACACCTTAGTGTTCAGTATCAATATTTTTCAAATTTTATATTTTTGCTGCAACTCCTTCCACCTTGAGCACATTCTACAACATTTACCTCGTAACCTTTAGTACAGTACTGTGGTTTTTCACACCATTATTAAAGATGGGTACCTGTTCTCGTTAAAAAATTGTGCAGCCAACTATTATATTGTGTCAAGGTGAACCTCTCATCCACAGTGATATACAGTCTCCTTGAGTTTTTTGCTGTATACCCTACTCATGTTTCACTACCTGGGAATTGTATATGATTTAACCAATCTTGTGTTTCTTAACTTTTGTCTAAACAGTATTAAATGTAAAAATATACCGTTCAGTACTCAAGTGATTGAAGAACAAATTAGGACTTAGCAAATTGGTGGAATAGTATCTTTAATTGAGGGAAGATGATAATGTGTCTTCTGGAGTAGATATTCTGACAACATAACAAGTTTGACTTGATGTTATGTTTTGAACCAGTTGTGAGGGATAGTGAGAGTGATCGTGACTCCGTGGATTCCAAGGCCAGATGTCTGACCTTGTAGCCAGTCATGATTCAGACCACAAATGATGTACCAGTCAGGTGCTTGATTACACTCGTGCGGTAAATCACTTTTTAATATATTTTTAATTAATTTTATTATTATGATTATCATCATCATCATCATTATTGTTTTATTATATTCCCCCCCCCCCCAGGCCTTGATGTGGGTCATTAAAAATTACCTGTGCCCTGGTGGGCTAATGCCCTATAAAAAAAAAAATCTTATTTTTCCTTTACTCACATACACATTTAATGTTTTACTTTATATCTATTTATTTGTTATATTATTTACTGTCATTACATCTTTATTCATTTAATTATTTACTCCACATACCTTGTTTAAATGTTACTTTCAGTTCTATACACTTGATTTATTCATATACAGTCAGTTCTGCTATAACGCGATAGTTGTGTTCTTGTAAAACATCGTGTTATAGAAATTCGCATAATAGAAATAACCGGGCTTATGGAGAAAATAGGGTTAGGTGCAGATTACTACTCGAAATCGAAAAAAATTTAGTAGTTAGCCTAACACAAAGGATAGCACAGTCTAAATAAATGTTACATTTATATCTAATTATGAAATCATACAGTAAATGTAACACTTTACCTTGAAAAAATGTGAATATAACTTGTTGGGGGAGAAGGGTGATTTTGAGGTTGATAACATCGAGCTTCTCTTCAAGGGTTATAGCCTTTCTTTTACGATCATCACCGGGAATGCGATCACCAGAACGCTTCTTGGAGATATTCTTCTTTACCATATTCACAGTTAATACCACAAAATTGGAGAAATAGTAAGCAAAAATCGCGTTACAGCAAACAAGCGTTCGCGTTATACAAATGTCGTTCCTCTATTCATAAATCGCGTTAGAACCAATTCGCGTTGTCAAAACACACGTTATAGCAGAACTCACTGTACATGTACAGTAGTAGTTCCTTATACATCATTACTTTTATTATTTTTTTAATGTAGATTCTCCATTTGTAAATCTGTCTTTTAAATACATTACAGGGATGCCTGTAGCTACTGTAGGTATACAGTATCCTCTATAATTCTCACCTTGGAAGATACAGTACAGTATTACAGTTGTTTCTTTATAAAGGACCTCACTATTATTGTATGTATTTCCAGGACACAATGGATACCTTTCTCGGTTTATTTGATCCAGCCATGGAAAACGAGACAACACAAGATATCGATGAACTAAATGGAAATGTTAGTCATGATGAGCTGCAGTACAAAGGACGTCGGGGAACCCTGGGGGGCGTGAGAAGGGGCCCCAGCGTTGCCATACTTCCTGACCAGCTGCCATCTGAACCTCAAGAGGGGAATATTGAGTACAAGTTAAAACTTGTCAATCCAAATCATGAAAGATTTAAGAGACTCGTATCTCAGGTGGGTTGATGTGGAGTATTTATTTGTAATAAGTTTTATTTTTTATCCTCCATTTATAGTCTTTGCAGTTAATACCTGTTTGGACAGTCAGCCTGTTCTTTGAAGATTTACCCCCCCAAGCTTATTTTACCTGGATATTAACCACCTTAATGCTACCTAGGGGTTAATTTTGGCTAAGATAGGATAGGTTAGGTTAACCCTTAAACAGTGGCTAAAAGTTTCCCCATGTGCACAAGAAATTTAAAGCAAAGAACATGAAACATCCATTAATGTTTCCTGATGTTCCAACAGTTAACATCTACTGATGATGGCTGCTGTTTAAGGGTTAAGGTATAGTAGGTTAGGTTAACATTAGGGTGGTTAATCTTCAGGTGATCTAGGGATTGTTTCTAATAATTCTTGAATGGGATTTGTGGAGTGATCTACAGGTACTCATGTATCACAAACTCACAAACACGCATTTATATCCTGTGGCAATGTAAGTCATTAAAAGATGTGGACATGTAAATTCACGGGAAAGAACTTCACCATCTTGAAAGAAGTGCATCTTTTGTTTGTGCTTAAAGAGAGAGATAAAATAATCAAAAGTGCAGGACAAGTAATAGGATATACAAATACTGTAAGTGGATAAATAATAGTATATAGAACAGAGAATGTTGGAACAGTGTTTGGTTGACAGCTCCACAATAATATGATTATGGCTTAATATATACAGTGGTTGACATGGTTGGTACAGTACAGGACTAATATTTGCATCTAGTCCATAGGTCTTTGTAAGCAAACTTGTTACAGTGACTCAGAAAAACTCTGTAGGGTAAACTAAAATCTTGTCCAATATATTGTAAGTGTATTCATAAAATGCTTGTAATCTTTGGAACCCTGTACATCTTGAGAATTTGATTAGAATATTGTACTGTATGATGGTTGGTTTTCAGTTAGTGTTGAAAAAGCTCATCATTTACTTTCAGATGCAATGGAGATTACGAGAGGGGTTAGGAGAAGCCATATATGAGATTGGGGTTGAGGATTCTGGGATCCTCCTCGGTCTAACACAAGAGGAGCTGGAAGCCTCAATGAAGACGCTACGTCGCATGGCCAAACAGCTTGGGGCGTCACTAACAGTAATACGTGAGAAAACCATATCGGGTCACAATGGGCAGACACGCAAGGCTGCGGAGGTTCTAGTCAGAAAGGTGTGTTAACAGGTGTGGTGTTGTATGAAACATTTTGAACTTAACAAGCTATTATTTTATTGTATTCTTGGTCTTAATCATTTACTTTTGTTTACTACTACAGTACTCAGTACAGAGGCTTACCGGTAGTTTAGATTTCATTCAAATTGAAACAATGATATATGTACAGTACTGTACTGTATTTACTGTATATGTATTAAATTAGAGCTATGTAAAATTTTTGTCAGGTACCTGATGATCAGTATAGTATAGAGCTAAGAATAGCAGTGCTGGGAAACTCTGACGTGGGCAAGTCCACACTACTGGGAGTTTTGACACGTGGGGAGCTGGACAATGGCCGAGGCTGTGCTAGACTCAATGTATTTCGTCACCGACATGAAGTTTGTTCAGGGAAAACTTCATCTATATCTCTGCAGCTGATGGGTTTTGACTCTCAGGTTTGTGCAATAGTACCCAATTATTTTATAATTTATCTATCATTGTATATGACTCGACATTTGCTAATACGTACTGTACAGTATAGTTATTAACAATGGAAACTGGTTAGACATTGACTTTTGGGGTCTGTACAGGGTAATGTGATCGACCAGACATGTACCAGAAGTCGAGACTATGATGATGAGGATATCTGCAGTCAGTCCATCAAAATAATCAACTTCATAGACCTTGCTGGAGATCAGAAATATTTGAAAACAACTGTATTTGGACTGTCTGGCTATTCTCCACATTATGCTGTTCTAGTAGTAAGGTAAGACATAATTAATCCATTATTACTTACTTGACTTTATTTTTGCAGGGTAGCTGGAACCAGGAGCAAAAACAGATTATCTTTATTTGGTGAAATTTTTTCAGTCTTTCTGCTGTATCATAACCATAAGCTACTCTAGTTCATGCTCTTGGGGTATTGCAGCTTTTTACAAGACATGGTGAACCTGTTGACCTCCTGTTGGAAATATACTAAAGGAAGACTAATAAGTAGATGATTTTTATTTTTTGTATTAATAAAAACTGTGCTAAAAGATATGAACTTTATGATCTGTATTAATAATTGTGTGATGAATTTCTTATGTGATAATCTGTATTCTACAGTGCATTTTCGGGCGTGGCGCCGATGACCGAGGAGCACCTCAGTCTTGCTCGGGCTCTGGATGTGCCCATTGTTATTGTTGTCACCAAAACTGATATTGCATCACCTCAGCAGATCCAGAGAACAATTAATGATCTCAAGCAATTTCTCACACAACCAGGATACAAACGGGTAGGAAATTGGATAGTTTTCCTGTGGTGTCCAACTGTTCATCCCAAGTTAGGCAAGAATAATGTTTCTGTAATTTTAGCAGTTACATATTACCATCATTGGAATTATTTATAGTTGAAGTAATGTTGCTGAATGTTGAAAATATTGTTTGGGATAATTTGCTCCTTTTGAGTGACAAAAAGTTAGAATAGACAAAGGAAATGAATGAGCACAAGATCTTAACATTTTGCAGGTGCCATTGATTATTCAAAATGAGGACGATGCCATCACAGCTGGCAGCAACCAGTTGGATAATAACATAGTGCCCATATTCTGTGCCTCAAGTGTCACTGGGGATGGGCTTACTCTACTTAAAAAGTTCCTGTTTGTGTTGCCACCCAGAATAAGCAACAAAGAGCGAGAGAAACTGGAACAGGTATAGTAGTTGTGAACTTGCAGTAAATTTGTTAACTCTTTTACATTGTTTTTCTTGGAGGAGGAGGAGGTTTTCTCTCCTGTTAGGGTTAAAATTTGTATTTTTTGGGTAAATTTTGTGTCTTTATGGTAATGGAGCTCATACACTTGATTAATATAGAATAGATAAGGTTAATTTCTTCCTTTAATCAATTACCCAAATTTTATATCTATCATAATATGCTGAAAGGTCTTTGATAATTAGTTCAGTACATTTGTTGTTCACTGTGTGCGAGCTGACGTCTCCCATTGGACCCACATTTTTGGCCTAACTATTTTCAGTCTTCGTTTGTGGTGGGTTGGCCCCTTGGATTGATTTTTAGGGGAGTTGATAAGATGTTGCATTACTTTTACTTTTATCCTCTTCACCAAATGATCGGCTCGTTTGCCACTTGGGCGGTCGGTCACGTCTCTGTTACGCACTGCCTTCATGTCTAGATTTAGCAAGTTTGGCCAGTATTTTAGGAAACAGTATTCACAGCATTTAGTCAAGATGATCTAGGTGATGTCTTGTATGTAATAGGAGCAACAGATGAGAAACAATGTGCCTTACTTCACTTGTTTGTAAATCAGATTTTGTCTGGTAGTATTGTTTACCATTTCAAGGTTAACAGTAACTATTGAGGGCATTGCTGTTTATTAAAGTGTATGTACTGTACAGTACTGTATTTAGCTTTCTGTTGCAAAATAATAAATTAGGTCTTTATTTGTTGTAGATAAATTGTGCTGGAGAAATACAGCTATATAGATAAATCTCAAGTATAAGTTACTTATTGACAAGATTGACTGGTAGATCATTTGAACAGTTCAGAACCAAATTTTTTCTATCTAGTTCATTCACTAACACTGGTAAACAGACAGAGAATTAATGCAAATATGTGGATGTCTTGCAGGAGCCAGCAGAGTTTCAGATAGATGAGGTGTTCCATGTAGACCACAGCATAGTTGTAGGAGGCCTGCTTACTAAAGGTGTCATTATGCAGGGAGCAACATTACTACTTGGTAAGATCAATAAGTTGTGTAACACTGAAAGATGATGATGAGTTATGTGTGTTTGTGGTGGGGGAGGGAGGGAGGGGTAAAAAATTTCCCTTGGAAAAAAACACTTCAGGTAAGAAGTGGAATTATACACCCCTAACATCCCTTGACTACATTAGCTATATACCGTATGTAGGATCTGATTCCAGTTTACCAAGACATGACCACAATACTTTGCAGTGCACAGTTCCTCATTTAAAAACAGAAATAAATAAATAAATGGGCACTTTAAAGACAAGCTGTAAAGATATAGAAAAAAATCAATGATAATTTGAAGAAAAAATATCCTAATGAAGGAAAGCCCCGGGCAAAGATTAGTAACAACTGAAGAATTTTGTCATATATAACATGGGAAATCAAAGTTTCTCTGACAATGATACTAACAAACAACAAAGCTTAAAAAAGTTGAAAGGAGTCTGATCTTACTGAGGCACTGCAGGTACAGGTACCATGAAGTAATTAAATTAATGCAAGGAGACTGTGCAGGAAATTAAATTTTTTGTAGTGTTGTAACAAGGAGAAAAACATAGTATAAAGGGAAGGGAAAAGCATAAACATCCACTGAGGCCTCACTCACAAGTATCACAATTATCATTTGTGAATACGTGTACAGTACAATTTTTTTTTTATTGTACTGTATATTTATCACATTAGTTATCCTAACTTACAATATATTTTTCATACATATTAAGTTTTATTTTCATGTATGAAATAGGTTTTGTCTTGCAAAAAATATTCTTGGAACTTAATCTCCATTTTTTAGTTATTATAAGAACAATTCATTTGCATAACATTGATTCACTTTAATATAGTAACACAACTATGACATTAAGTGAGTATTCCTTGTATATTAAATGAGGTTTTATTGGCAGGTCCAATGGACAACTGCAGCTTTGTCCCAGTGACCATTGGGTCAATCCACCGCAACAAAGTTCCATGCAGAGTAGTGTGTGCAGGACAGTCGGCTTCACTGTCACTACAAGGTCCAGATCTGACTTTACGCAAGGGAATGAAGTTAATGAGTGTTGAAGCAAGGCCTAGAGCGTGTTTCTACTTTCAGGTGAGTAGAATTTGTTCTCATCGTATTTTCACATTAATTTGTAGTGTTACTGTACTGATGTTTTTATAAGTTTGTTAAGATATCAATATTTTGTAACTGGCTTTATTGCAATTTTCCTTCTCAATCTTACAAACTTGGTTTGCATGTCTTCAGGCAAGGACACAAGTTCTCCATCACTCAAGTAGTATATGTCGTGGATTCCAAACAACCGTCCATATCGGAAATGTTAGACAGACAGCTGTTGTTGAGGGGATTCTTGGGTCGCGGGGACTACACACAAATGATCGGGGTTCAGTGATATTCCGCTTCCTCCGGCAGCCGGAATTAGTCCAGAATGGGGCAAGGCTGCTGTTCCGGCAAGGATCAACCAAAGGTATAGGAAAGGTAATTCAGGTGTTTGAAGAAGAGCCAGATAATGTTGACCTTTATAATGGTCTTATAAGATAAGTTGATTGAAGTATAACCGAGTGATTACCGAGGTATCTGAAAACTTGTATATAATAAGTGAGATGGTATAATGGTGTTAAAAACTTAAAATACTTAAATTTATTATGAGAGTTTTTTGGGAAAAATCTTATTTTTAAGTTGTGTACACCTCAGATCTCTTGAAGAGTAAATGGGGACAACCCAGGCCAAACATAAATATCCTTAAGAAAGAAGAAAATTTAATATACGTTAAAGCATTATTACTCCCCTCCTCTAAATCCAAATTAGCGAGAAAAATCTGGTATTGTCATGTGTATATGTCTTAAAAATTTTGTTTTATTTTTTAGTTAATTTGGACATACAGATAACCTAAAATGGACTTATTTTGTGGGCATTGACATTAGTATAATGTGAGCATTGATTCTGCCCTCATCCTGTCTGATCAGGACTAATCTAACATTGTAGCACAACCAAGGTTAAGGTTAGATTGGATTAGATTGTATCTGGTGGTGTTTGCTTAGCTTAGCACAGCACACCTTTTGATTCACAGCAGTATCTCTAGTACAGTAACTGGCCACCGTCTATTTTGAAAATTTATTGTAGACACGACTTATCATTGGGAAATTGCCTATAGTGCAGAGATATTGTACACAATGTCCAGTTATAATCAGCCTAGCCATAGGCTTTTCTTGTAAAAAATGTATGCCCATACAGTACACAATTATTGCATCATCTGCACTATGAAGTATAGCCCAGACTAGTAGAATGCTCCAGCTCTTGTAATGCCCACAGGGTAACAACAGTTCCATTTGATCCCCCATGGAGGAGTGATCCCAGCTCTTTGTTCTCACAAAGTGATCTCAAACCCACTGTACTCACTAAGATTAACACAGCTCCATATAACCCTAGAGAGAGATCCTAGTTTCACTATGTCCCTTCTTAGGTGACACCTTATGTTCCCACAAAGTCATAATAATGCCAGCCAGCTTTATTCATATAATGGTGCCTCCAACCTGTCCCCACCAAATGACCCCAATCCTACTGTGTCCAGAGAATAATCCAAGTCCCTATTTGATCCTGTGATTGAACTTTACATCTGAAATTGTAGGATCAAACAAATGTTGATACAAGGAATTCGTGTTCAAACTATCATTTAAGGAAGTACAGAAGTACTGTGAACTTAGTCTGAATATCATACTATAATGACCTGAATGGTACATACCAATATTTTGGTTGTTTTATGTGTAGTAAAGTTGATATAAGTCACCGACAGTCTGAAAAGTTAATTAGCTAGCTGACAGAAGTTCTTGCCATCTACCATCATAGCAAGGAAGGTCGAATAGTCAAGAGCCACTACATAATGAAGATGTTATACACTTAAAAACACAGGACATAGTGGTGTATCCATGTTGTGGGTTGTTCTCTTATCCCAGGTGTTTTGGCCATATTTCTTGACTTGTAAATACAGACCATAACCTTGTCTTGAGATAAAACTTTAGCTGTTGTGCTGGGAACAGAATTTCATCAGCTTGTTCCTGAGCTGCTTTTTAAAGTTATTACATCTGTTTACCATGACTAATGTTTAAACATTATATAATCTCTTAAAGCTTTATATCTTACCACACTAAGATAGAAACATTTCTTTAACATTTAGAAACTGACTGATCCCACTTACGATTTAGGAGGATGAGGGACACATTGCATCAGTTCACTGTATAGGGCATTACAGCCTCCCCCCTCCCCCATATGTATTGATCAATACATGAAATTATTATGTGGCAACACAACTCTGTGCACAGTCATCACTAATTGAAGGCATTGTATGAGGCAGCAAATTTATAATCTGGTGTGCAATAGATTCCAGTGCTCTCAGACAACCAGTTGGTTTACTGTCAAATGCTTAATCATTGAACATCTCATGACCCAAACTTTTATTGATTAGATGATTTGTGTGCAATTTGATTGCCAGCTGTATGACCTAATTATTGGTGAAAATCTCTGCCAGATTGACTTACTTAGTGAACACACTGTTAGCTGGTTATCATATTTGTGGCAGAAACCAGATATACTGATGATCTTGTAACTGTATTCTTTAAATACAGTGAAACAACTTTTTGAGTTTATTACTGGCTAGTAAATGGCATACAGTACATATTCTTAATACCATTTAAGGTTTTCATTCCTTTATTTTTTTGTAATCTGTGTGGACTAAATAGTGAATAAAATTTAGAACTCTAAATTTTAACTAAAGTTCAATAAAATACTGCCACAACATTTCCTTTGAATGTCTTTGGTAGTATATGCTGGATATTTTCTGTTAAAAGTACAATTTTCTTGTAAACCTGTTTAATACCAGTGCAGTGAGGAAGGATTATTGTAGTGTATGGAAACTTTGTAGAATATAGGATGTACAGTATAGTGTAAATGTTTCACAGGTGAGGCAGAAATATATTGCAGTAACACACATAGCTACTACCAACCAAACGCTGGGAAAAGTACATTAGTATAGTATGAAAATTAACTGCCTACTGCATACTTTTATCTATATTTTTTATTCCCATCTGTGCTCAGTACTACACCAAGGGGTTATAAAATTAGGGCTCACTAAGTCTGTCACTTCTCATTTATTATTGTATCATTGGTCTCTGTGTAAATCAGTTTTTCTTTTCATCAAATGGTACACAACAGTCAGCCAATTATATATGTTTATAAGTACACTGTGCTCTCTAAAAATGTAGGGAGAAGTAGGGGATGATGACCCATAGTTTTCAACATTTTGAAAAGGATGGAAATACTGTATTCTTTTATATAATCTCTTTTTCTTACCAGTTAATAAAACATGTACAGTATTTAGATTGTTTATATTGGTGAGATAATCGCATCTTTTATTCCCATAGTTAATTTTCCAGAAAGGAATAAAAGGAAAAATTGTACATATCATATAATGGATATAATTTTCAATATGATTAGAAAGGTACGTGTCTCAAGATGTTTTAAGTTAAATTATTCTTCACAAACTTTACTTTTTTTTTATAAGGACAAAATGAGGAAAATTATGGAGTAGCCTTTTGAGCTTATTTTCGGTTACTGTATGAAGGTTTTTATTTTTCAGTATAGCTGTTAACACTCTTGGGTTTGGGTAGGCACTCTCCCGTGAGATGCACAGTATCTGGCCTGTTTTTTACTCATCTCACTGCACTTGACTGCACCACACGAGAGATAATTGTATGTAATGAGTCATAGCAAGCTTGCTATTTGAGATAAAAGAGTGGGATTCACATTAATATTGTAAATAAATTATCTACAAACAGTTTTAAATGAGTAATCACAATAAAATAATTATTTATGTACTTAAGCACAAGTGGAACACTAAATTTTTGTTTACGCTTCATGAAAATGTTTGTACATCATTTTATACCTTCATTATTTCATGTGGTTGCAATATGATCCTTGTTCCATTATAAAACATACATATTTAGGGAAAAAAAGTTATCAAAATGTTTTTTGGAAAATGAATATTTCGCTAGGTAATAGTGGAGTAAATTTTGCATTCTGATGAGCACGCCCAGGCACCACACTATCACCACGTGGTGCAGTCTCCTTGCACTTTCTACGTTTTCCCATCCCTCCATCCTTGCCAGCAGCACAAGGCATAGTTCAAAACTCTCGCAACACTGTTATGAATAAATGAAATCACTGTGATGTATGAAAATCGGCACAAGCCAAAAGTAAATGTGTAGGTCAATGTTATATCCTGGGATCTTTAAACATAAAAGGGAGACTGGTGTGGTCACCTTGGAGTGCAGTCTACATAGTTGCCTGATCGTGCTGACATTGCCAAACGTGTGTCTTGCGTGTCTAACATTCGTACGCAAACAAAATTATTTTATTTTGCTTCATATGCAAAGTTGTGCATGAAAACCCCAAGAGTGTTAAGATAAAGGGAGTTCACGTATGCAAACCTGCACGTTTGATTTTTTCCATTTAATGTTAATTTTACAGTTATAAAAGCATGGCTCAGAAGGGAGCAAAATTTCATAACCTTTCAAGACAAATGTATGTTAATGTATTTTATTTCCTTACATCTCTGTGGTTTATCACAGAGTAAAGATCAGTATTTGCATAAGATGTAAAAAGCACCTTTTCTTTAATGAAATGACAAATAACAGTAATTGTTAATGTATCTGCAAAGCAGGTATTGCCCATGTCAGTAATGAATTTGTGGTATAGTTTTTTTTTTTTACGCATGTGTCCTCAAACAGTGATGCCTGATTGTTGATGGAAAAGAAATAATTTAATAACACATTTTGAACCACATTTTGCAAAATCCTGGAGTGACATTTACATACAGTGCATTATAAATTACATCCAGGCATATTACAGTGTGACAAATGAACGGAAGCCACTTGTCATTTTAATATAAGTAAGAGAGTAAATCACTGTAAAGTAGTTGTGCTACTCACAAGATACAGTGGAAAAATCAGAGGGGGATAGGGAAGAAATCTCTCCCCATCAGGATGGTCAGGGAAAATAATCCTTTGTGGGTCCCTGTTACCAATGATTCAGTTTAATATTTTAGTGTCTGACACGGTTTCCAATTTTTTAAATTTTGTTACATTTACTGCCATGATTTTTTGCAGTTATTAAGGTTCTTTTACTTTTAAGTCTTCTATGTTGGTTATCTCATTTCCTAGTGGCATCTTTTCTCCCTCCTTATGAAACCTGCTTCAGTGAGAACTAGATCAGCTTGGATAATTTATCATCATAACAATGCAGGTTTTAGTTGGTGTAAAACTCTAGCTTATAGGAAGTGAAGTATTTCCTGCAGTCTCTGGTCCTTTCACCTTTAATAACAAGCAATGATTAGTGGAGTAAATATAAGCAGAATAATGTACTTATTTATTGACTCTAGTATTCAGTAAACCCCTGATATAATGGACTAATTGGGGGGAAGGCCAGTCCATTAAAGCCAAAAGTCTATTATATCCGGATCCAGAATGATAACGGACTCGGTCTGTTATATACTACTAACATTGTCTGAAATGACCACGTGGGTCACTTTTTACCACTAACACTCACCACCCACACCCACCATCACCACTAGCACTCACCATCGCCAATGACACTCACCATCACCAATGACACTCACCATTACCACCAACCAATACTCACCACCATCAACCAACACACTATCACCACTGACACTCACCATCATCAACATCACTCACCACTACCAACAACACTTACCAATACTGTACTCACCACCATCAACAACACTCGCCACCACCAACTAACACTCACCATCACCACCAACACTCGCCACCACCAACTAACACTCACCATCACAACCACTCGCCAACACCATCACTACCAACATCACTCACCATTACTAACCACCACTCACAATCACCAACTGGTGTTTACAGGATGAGAACATGTTCAAACTGGGGCGACAGAGTGGTGGCCTGCAGGCTAGCAGAGTAAACAATTTGCTCTACAGATTATTAACAAGTATGGTACTGGTTGGTTGTAAGTGGTGGGGGAAAATGATGCATAATAATGACCGCTGCACTGCTCGACGTATTATAGATTTTCATCATTTATTTTTCTAGCAAAAATTATGCAGAAATCAGTCATGTAAAGAGGAGCATGTTAAGTATTTTAAGTTGAATGCTACTGGGAAAATTTTTTTTACACAAGGAGAGCGCTGATTGGCTCCGAGCGTACATGGGTACGTCACTCTCATTGGCGGAGAGAATGTGAACATGCATGGCCACTGTTGACAAGACCCGAGTGTTCTGTCTTGTATTATGGATTGTCATAATTTTTGCTGTTTTGTTTTCTAGTAAAAACTAACTCTAGGAGAGGACCAAAGAGCTCTATTAAGAAATCAGCATTATGCAGGGTAGGGCTAAATGGGGTATTAATGTAATTCTTTGATAATTTGGATATGAATGGTCTCAAGTCTATAAATTTTTTATCCTAATGGACCTGAGTCCGTAATATATGAACCTAGTCCGAACACGGTCCCACTAATTACCCAAATGTAGCTACAATGAAGTCAAATGATGGTCATACAAGCGTAAATCGGGCTGTGAATCACTTCTCGATTAGTATTTGGTGTCATAAAGTCACAAAAAATTGGTAAACTTAATTTAATCTGAGTTGGGTTTGGTTAGGTACATGCACTCGATCTATTAATTCCGATTAAATTAAGTTTACCAATTTTTTGTGACTATGACACCAAATACTACTCGAGAAGTGATTCACAGCCCGATTTACGCTTGTATGACCATCATTTGACTTCATTGTGGCTACATTTGGGTTCATTTGGGTAATTACTCGCCCCCTCGGTACATGCACGCGATCTATTAACTCGATTTAATTAAGTTTTCCAATTTTTTGTGACTTTGTGACACCAATACTAGTCGAGAAGTGATTGGCAGTCCGATTTATTCATGTAGGACCATTATTTGACTTCATTGAGGCTACATTTGGGTAATTAGTCGGACCCTTCTGAACAGGTCAGTGTCTGTTGGAGATAATGTCTTTTATATCGGGGGTTTACTGTATACCTATACAGGTATTCCTCAACTTACAACCGCCTCAGTTGTACCAAAAATTTTCAAATTATGTATTTTCAAGTCCCGACATTAGTGATTGCGCTTTGTACTGACAAAGTTTTCGTTTGTAATTCCCTTTAAAATGACTGGCAAGCGTAAAAGTGAGAGTTCTCGTGGTGCTGAGAAGAAAAAGAGACACCCATTTTAGATTTTCTATGTATTATTTTCGCATTTTCGACTTAGGACCTGGATTTGGGTCCCTAACCCAGTCGTAAGTCGGGGACTGCCTGTACTGTGAACTGTTTTTCCTGTTTTATTTTAGGAAGCAGACATTATGTAAATTTTGCATGTTGATATAAGATTATCCAATTAAGGTTCAAAATTGCACAAGTAGGTCTTTGAGTGATCAGCCAAAGAACTTGTAAAGGATGATGTTTCCTTAGTAAGAGGACAAGTTGGTTCATCAGTTCAAAAATTTCAAGGTATAGCATTGTACAGAAATACATTTTATAAGCTACTATTAGTAGCATATGAAACAGAGTTTTACCTAACATGGTTTAGCTGTTTAAGTTGAAATTTCGGGGAGTGAAGAGGGGGAGGTAGACTTCAGATTGGAGTGAATATCAAGTTGGGAATTGTTTTTACTGTCTATTAGCTGAATCAAGCTGTGATTCCCAACTTGGTATAGAGCTGTTCTGTTTTATGAACTCTTGTATCTACTAATACTGTACCGGTATTACGACATCAGCAAAACTAATTTCAGGAATTAGGTTTGTTGCCATTGTGTAAATGTGTATTTACTCTAAATTACATTTAATTCTCTTATATATTTTTAGTTATACGATTGCTACCTGATGCTTTGTAAATAAGAGGCTTATTTTTATTTTACTCAAGTACCTTATAGATAAAACAATAATTTTTTTCTGTGTTTTGTGTTAACTCATAATAATTCCTAAAATAATAACTATATTGAACACAATATAGTTTGCTTTCTTACATGCAATAAAGTATATGGGACATTAAGTGTTTGTAATTATTCCTCGAGGCTTTTAATACTTTTCCCATCCAAAGGTTTAAGTAAGCTATGGGTGTAAGACATGACACCTCAATTACTGGAGGCAGAAATAATGATTGTACATTGTAATAACGTAATGAAACATGTGTCCTATACCTCGTACTGCCCACAAATCGGGTTATTTACCACTTACTGCCAACCTCACCCCCACTGTGTCACACACACTCACACCACTTCACACACATTCTCGACTCTTCATCCAGTGATACCA